GGGCTTTGAGCGGGTTCCAGAACAGCTGAGCCCTGTGCCCCACAGGGGGACCCCCAGACCTCTCACTGCGGGGCTCACAGGGAGACCCATCCCTGTGTCTGTGCCTCGCCCCTCCCTCCCGCTCCCCGGGGGCTCCTGGGCAGTGAGTGCAGTGGGCACAGCAGGTGGCTGCTGGGTGGGAAGCGCAGCCACGTGGCTCAGGGACCCCCGTCGCCTGGCGGAGCCCCGGCAGGATGGTGCAGGCCTCCCCGGCCCCGCCCTCCCCTCCCGGGCCTTCCCTCAATGAGTCCAGCCTGGGCCTCTGCTTCCGGGGAGCCTGGGTTGACAAGCCGACAGCTGGGTCGTCGTGCCCATATTCCAGATGCCAAGACTGAGGCTCAGTGAGGGAGAGCCAAGGTCCCTCCCCCAGCCCAGCTCCAGGGGGCTCCCCTAGCGGCGCCTGGTTGCCATGGTGTCGGAGGAGGAGGAGGAGGAGGAGGAGGAGGAGGAGGAGGAGGAGGAGGAGGAGGAGGAGGAGGAGGAGGAGATTCCTGAGAAGCAATCCCAAAACACCCCGGTGGGCCCTCCTCCTCACTCCCTCTCCAGGTCACCGCCTCCTTTGGGGCAGGTGGGCGGGCCTCTTCCTGGCCAGGGGCCGGGAGCAAAGCAGGTCGAGGAGGCAGAGGGTCCAGGTAACGGCTCAGGGACCCCAGCCTCGCCCTGCAGGTTTCCTGGGCCTGGGCTCCACGCCCCCCCAGTTCCCGACCTGGCGGGCTCTGTCCTGCCTCCCGCCTTCGCACATGCAGTTCCCTCCACCGGGAACGCCCTTCCTCCTCCTTCAGGGCCCAGCTCGGCTCTAAGTCCCCTGGGAACCTCCCGAGTCCCTCGGGGCGCCCCCTGCGCCCCCCGAGGTCACAGCGTTTTCTGGGTGATGCTCTCCCGGGGCGGGGAGGTCTTGGGGTGCGAGCTCTGCCTTGGTGCCCCAGCCCCTGGCACAGACAGGTGCTCAGTAAACCCGGAAGGAAGGGGGGAGGGAGGGAGGGAGGGGAGGGATCTGGACCCTGAGCATCTTGCACGGGGCTGGGCGCGGAGCAAAGCCCACTCCCTCCGCCGCCTCCCCCTGAGCCTGGGCCCCGGCACCTCCCGCCTCCGATTCGGACCGGCTCAGGGGCCGTCTCCACACCCGCAGGCCTGTGTCCGCTGCCCATTAGGACGCGAGGGCATGACCCCGGGAGGCAGAGGGACCTGACTTCCCAAGGAGCTGGGGGCTGGGGGAGGCCTCCGACTCGGAAACCCAGATCCCGGGCCCGGGGGCTCGCCGGCCTGAGGAACTGGCCGTGAGCGGGTCCCCACCGACTCTGCAAACAGGGAAGCTGAGCGGGGGCGGAGGGTGCTCGCCCAGGGCGCCCGGGAGGGGCCAGGGTCCCCTTGCCCCTGTGGCCCTGGGTGCGGGGCGATGGGCTGGGCTGCTCCTGCGGTGGGAGGAGGCCCGGGAGGGCGAGCCCGCGCGGGTGGATGGCCGACACCTGCTCACGGGCACTAGGGCTTCGGTACCGTCAGCCCCGCGGGGTCGCGCCAGGGTGGCAGGGCCCGCGAACCCATCGCCCGGACAGGCTGCCTGGGCAGGAGTCCCGCCGCGGGGAGCTCTCCGTGGGCGGCGCCGCGGGAGCAGGAGGTGAATCGCCCGCGGACCGGGCGCGGGCGTCTGCGGGGACTGCCGAACGGGGGACCCTACCGGGCCGCGCCGGACTTCAGAGTCCCGAGGTTTTCCCAGGAAAGCGACGGGAGGCGGCGGGCCAAGCCCCTCTCGCACCCGCGCACCGCGCCCCGCGCCCCGCGCCCTTACCTCACCCGGAACGCCAGCGTAGAGCCACCGCTGGGGCCGCTGCGTTGCCATAGCAACGCGAGTCCGTCCCCTGGGGTCCGGGCGAGGTCGGTGCAGCGCTTGGGTCCCGCCGGCCAGAAACACAAGCCGGACTTCTTCCGGTTCCTCCTGCCCCGCCACACCCTGTCGGGCACCCGGGCGTCAAGAGGCGCAGGGTGTCCCAGCCGACTCTGGTGGGGTCAGCCTAGCGGGGAGGGCCCCGGGCCGCCGGGGGGTGGACGGGAGGCGACTGAGGCTTCACCCGCTGAGCTCCCCGAGGGTGGACCTGAGCGGGCGCGGTGTGGCCAGGTTTGCTGGGAGAATTTGCCCGCGCGGTGCACGCACAGCGTGTGTGCTTTAGTTCGCGTGTCAGAGGTACGTTCAGGAGGAAACCACCACGTTGGCAGGCAGCCGGTGCTGCAGCCGGGACACCGTCCCCGCGGCTGAGCGTCCACGGGCCGAGGAGGCACAGCTGCCCCAAGTGGAGAAAAGCAGCGCTCAGCCGCCTGGCGGTGGCACGTGGGGCCGGGCAGCGATGGGCACAGAGGCTGGGACTTCTGCACAGCCCGGCCCGGCCCCTGCTGTCCGTTGTGTATCCCACGCGGATGGCACGGCTGCGTCCAGGGCTGGGCCCCGAGCTGGCCCTGCCAGCGCTGCACAAACGCCCCAACCCAGTCGCCCCTGGGGAAGGCTGTGCCGCGGGGGCCGCGCCTGGGGAGGTCGGGGAGGAGTACAGGTCAGCGGCAGGTCCGTCAGCCAGGCCGCAGGGGAGGTGGGTGAGGGAGCCTGTCACGGGAAGAAACAGCTGTGGCCCACGGAGGAGCTGGGGAGGGCCCTGACCTTTGACTTGGTGTGACAGAGCCCGGGTTCAAATCCCAGCTACTCTCCTGCCTTGCTTTAGCTTTCTGGGGCTGGGTTTGCTTCTCTATAAAATGGGGGTAACACCCTCCCTCCCCCATTGCTTTGTGGGTCAAAAACATGTGCTCTATAGGGTACTGGTTCAGTCCCAGTAAAGGGGCCCATGGTGTGTCTGTAGAAACCCAAGGGCCCACCCGGCCAGTGTGGCTCAGTGGTTGAGCATCGACCAATGAACCAGGTCAGGGTTCAATTCCTGGTCAGGGCACAGGCCTGGGTTGCGGGCTCCATCCCCAGTGGGGGCGTGCAGGAGGCAGCCGGTCCATGATTCTCTCTCATCGTGGATGTTTCTATCTCTCCCTCTCCCTTCCTCTCTCAAATCAATAAAAATATCTTTTTAAAAAATAAGGCGAAATCCTAAC